GAGCGGATTATCCCCCCCACTGCTCTGGGAGCCCATCAGGGTTGGGGTGGGGTATGTCTCACCTCCTAATTCTCTTATGCCTTTCCACGCTAGGAGTGCGTCAAGACCTGGACGGCCGGGACGGACTCCAGACGGTCCACTTCACCTTCCTGATCGGCTGCGTCTTTGTGGCATTCGTCTTGGGCGCCTTCCTCTCGGGCTTGCTGGTCTCCTGCTATTGCAACCACAACTTCCAGAAGGCCAAGCACGCCGGCAAAGATCCCGAAGGTGGTGGCGGCGGCGGCAATGGCAGCGCCCAGCGCCCGCTCTCCTTGCGGAGCCTGGCCAAGATGAACGGCCTCTTGGAGAACCAGTCCAAGGACGGCCTGCCGGATGGAGGAGGAACCAAGCTCTACACCACTTTGCTACCCAACGAGAAGGAGCCGCTTCCGCCCGGAGCGGGAGCCAAACCCGGCCTGAAGGACCACCACCCGGAGTTGTCTGCTTTGCCCACGCCCGAATCGACGCCGNAGCTGCCCATGAAGAACATGAAGGCCATCCGCAACCAGTGGGAGAAGAACCAGAACTTCAACAACGCCAAGGAGAGCCAAGGCAAGCCCTCCTTCTTCCACGCCGCCAACCCGCCGGCCTTCTCCTACCCGCCGGTGCACGGCTACGAGGCCCCCTTCCTGGGCTACCAGGATGAGAAGAAGATCCCCAACTCGGAGCGGGTGCTGGTGCGCCACTCCCAGTGCTTCCTCCCCAAAGGGATGGAGGTCACCACCTTGGAGGAGCTGCTCAAGCACCTCCACGAGACCAATGGCCACAACCCCAAGGTGGTCCACTTCCCCAACGCGGCCGCTCTCTCCTTCGCCAACCGCGTCCAGCCCAAGATCCCCGACGTCGAGAGCGCCCCGTATTACAGCTCCTCCACACTACCCCGGGATAGTTTGCCGAGGAGGCTCGACGTCCCGCCCGACCCTCCGCCGCCTCTGCCGGGGGGCTTGGACAAGCCGGGGCGACACCCGGCACACAGACACTCGCTCTGCGGAGCACCCAAATTGGTGAACGCCGGCGGCGGAGGGATGATCGCCCGGCATCATAGCTTGAGCCAAGCGGGGAGGCCGCCTCCGCCGCTCCTGACCCGGATGCACTCCACGGGCACCTCATTGCCCCACGAAGGGCACCCCCATGCCCTCTTCCTCTCCCGGCAGCACAGTTACGGGGACCCCGTCTTGCTGCCGGGCCACGGAGGCATGCGGCGCTCGGTCTCCATGATGAAGCCCGGCAATTGCCCCTCGCAGCCGCTCTTCATGCCGTCGTCGTCTCCGCCGGGTACTCAGTCCTCCGGGCCGTTCAATTACTGAGCGGGTTTTGATGCATCTTCAGACTTGAGGGGGGGATCGCCGTAGGCGTAAATTCGAGGGAAAGAAGGTGGAGAGATCGCATACAGTTGTGCCTTGCGACACAGAAAAGGGCACGTCCGGTACAGGAAATGGCCAGAGGGATTTAATAGGCCACTCCAGTTATGGGCAGGTTCCTATCCGAACCGGAGTATGCAATCCTCGGCCGTCGACGGCGAGGACTTTGGGCGCCCCGATCCCAAACCCAGGATATGCAAACTATATAGAGGTGGGTCCACATGCGGCCCGTATCCGACCTTCCAGTGCCGTTTTTTAGCGAGCGAATGTGACCTCGTAGCCTTTCCCAAAGTCGCCCTCCGCCGAGCGATAGGCAGCGGACACTTTCTTCCTCCACCATGTCCCACCGTTCTGGATCTGGGTTTGGAAAATCGTTTCTTGGGTGGCGAAAATAGTCGCGGAAAGAGGAGAAGACTTTGGAGGTCGTTCTGCGCGAAGCGAAGGAGGTCGGCCTTGATGGCTACCGAAAGACGTCGGACCACGTTTCGCTTTGTTTTCAGTGCCCTTAACTTTATCCATGAAGACTATAAACATGCGTCTTGGATTATTATTGTCCTTCCAGAATTGATATTACAATTGTGTTTGGGTGGGAAAGCGTATTGGTAGCTATAACGGGGCATCTTCCTGGTGGAAGTCAAAGTCTGTGAGAAGATAATTGGAAGGTCTCCAAAGTAGCCTCATGGAGCGTCTCGATAGGCTTCTTGGGAAAGCCAATGCACCAAAATTCTGCAGCGACTCGTCTAAATTAACTATGTTAATGATTGGAAGCCCACCTTAAAAGCCAGCAGCCGCATTAAGCATTGCAAGATCTGTCCTGTTGCAAAGGTGACTTGTTTCTCGTTCTCTATTTCCCGCAAAAGGAGAGGAATTGTCATCGGATCCTTTGGTCCGGATCCCATTTGTTTGCCGAGATCACTACTTGCAATGCCTTTCCTTTTGGTGTAAAGAGAGGCTGCTGGCTCTAAAGGTGGGCTTTGGAAGAGGTATCAGTAGTGTCT